TGGACTGAAAAGCTGGACTTGGCAGGTGCTCCTTGCTGACAGGTTCCCCCTGCAAAGCCCTGACAGAAATGTCAGACTCAATAAAAATCCTTCAGGCTGTGTGAGCGAAGTGACTCTTGCGTGGGAGTGTGCTGGCAGGGGGCTTTTGTACTTTGGGAACCTTTTACCTCAGTAGTTCGTGGAGAGGTGGAGAGTCCTGCCAGAAAGGTCTATTTCAACCTGTATTAATTTTTTTGATACTGGCCATTTTGTCGTGTCAGTGACTTTTACATTTGTTTTGATATGAAATTGTTTCCAGAGATTTCGGTGGAAGAATTATTTGAGGTGATACCACGTCCACAAGTATTTCTAAAGCCTATAAATTTTGATAGTGATTGCAATTCTTTAGTTAGGGGGAAAAAAATAAAAAAGGCAGGTTTTGTCTGTATGTAAATCTTGCCTGATGGGGCATATTGGAAAAGAAGGTGGGCTGTACTCCCTTCTCACAAAATCTGCATTATAGATTTCAGCTACGTGGAGATTAATCCCTCTGCAGTAATTTATCCCGGGTACTTCTCCTGACATCTGCCTCTTTGACGTCCCAGCTCTGCCTGATGTAGGGTCAGCTGTGCAGGAGAGGTGTTCTCCCAGACTTCCTCCTGGTTTTGTAGCTTCACAGTTGTTGTGAATTTAACAGCACTCAAAATGTAGTTGTGTGAATGAATATTCCCTGCATTTCTACACCCAGGATTATGCAGTGTAACTAAATTAGGATCCTGATTCTGCAGGTCAGGTGTTTCAGGCAGGCTTCAGTGCTGCTGAAGTTAGTGGTGGGATGAAGAGCCATTGGTTCTCCTTTACAAGATTTAAGTGGTGATGGAGCCTTAAATACATTTTTCAATGAGAATGACATCTGGTGTTCTGAAAAAAACATTCATTCCACGGCTTTGGAAGTGTTCTAGATGGTCAGATGATGCCGATGTATGTTTGCTTTAGCTCGCAGTGGTGATGCTAACCAAATTTCATTGTGAGGTGAAACCACAGTGACTGCATTCTCAGACTGTTTTTAGTTTTCTAATATTAAAAAATCCATTAAAGGGCAGGGCGAAAGAGAAGGAAATTAAATAAGTGAAAATGTACAAAACAAGAAGTCAGTTGCTGTCAAAAAAAATGCCTATAGCAAGAAGGGTAACAGATTTAAATATGATTTCATACATCTGGCTATGTCTGGTAACAAAATCTCCTTGGCTTGAAGAACTATATAAGTGAGTGAACTGTATGTACTCCTTGATGCAGTGATAGAATCAGGCTGTGGTTGCTTTTATATCCCCAAGAAGATGTATGAGAGTGGCTGAAATTATCCAGGGGGAAATTTCAGTGCCCACTGCTGTATGAATCCAGCTGGCTAGAAGGGTCTTTGGATAAGGCCAAAGGAGATAGAAATAAAAGCTGCTGTGGAGAGCCCTCACCTGCTATATTGAATTGAGAACTGGTGCTCATGATCTCTCAATTCTATCAGACAAGGCCAGAATTAATTCTGATTAATTGTGAGGCTTCGGTATACTTGCAGAATGCATGATTTATTCTGGCAAAATGTGTATTGGGAGTGCCTTTAGCTAAAATAAAATACTAAGAACAGGGTTGTCTTTCATATTCACCATCACTAGTCTGCTTTAACCCATGAATAGTCTTACCTGACAGGCTTTTACTATTTAGGAAGCTTCTCTGATGGTCAAGTGAACTGCCTGTGCAGGAGCACACGTGCACTTGGTCTGAGACTGGTGTGTGCTACACTTGCAGGAGTAGCTGAAATATCATAGAGGGGAGGATATCTGACTCTGACTGTTCTAATAAAGTAGTAAGCAAAGACATTTTTTGCCTTTAAAATTCCTTCATTGAGGATTTTAAATAAAGAAGGGTTGGCAAAAAATTAGCTCATAGCCTGATGTATTTCATTAGGGCAACACAAGAGGTTCCTTGAAATTCCCAGGCCCTTCTGGAGCAGCCAGACTCCTCTTTGCTCACACACGTTTTATTTTGGAGTTGAAGGTATTTCTGGTTTGGGCACGTGCACACATGGCCCTGCGTGGATTATGTGAGGGGCTTAACTCTGGCTGCCTGGATTTGCAGGCGGCGTGTTGACAGGAAATTAGTTTGTACCAGGACGTGCCTTTTGAGGACTATTTCCAGGCAGTTGTGATGATGACATCAACACAGGGAGGTCAGGTGGAGGTGGGGGGGCAAAGGCAGCCCCTTGGCTGGGAGTTGGTTTTGGCAGTGCCTCCGTGGGACTGGAGGGTTAATCATCATTTGTTTCTCTGGCTGCCGTTTGCGTCAAAAGGCCGGGCAGCCTTAATGAACGTTGCCTGTGTTAATTTGAAACCCTTGCTGGGAAATCATGGGAAAATGGAAAAGCACATAGTTGTGTGTCACCCCTCAGATTAACAGCTTGGGCAGCGCTGGAGCCCTCGGTGTGGCTCTGGTGCAGCTCCAAGCAGCTGGGAAAGAGATCGCTCCCTGTGCCTGCCTGGGGTTTTTATGGGGTATCCTGTTAAGCCAAAAGCTAATTTACTGTAGACTCTGTGCTAAAAATGGTGCATTGTGTGACAGCTTAGTGAACTATGTAAATAAAAGCACTGAAAGTAGAAATCTGTGGTGTCATAGGACCCAGACACCTTGATGCTGGTTTTATTATTGATTTTTTTTTTGTGTGTGTGGGTTTAAAATTATTTACTCCACTTTGAAGAGACAATAATAAAGCCCCAAATAATGTACAGGTAGCCCCCTTCATGTTTAAGCTGTATTATACCATCACTGATTGCCTAACTGCAATTTTCTGATGATGCCTGAATTGCATGAAAGTCTTTGCAATGTGCATTCCCCTGTAACAGTGGGGGTTTTCTTTAGGATAAATACTTCTTTAATGTGTTGTGGGGTGTTTTTTTTTTTTTTTTCAGCCTGAAGCTTGTAAGAGGAATGTTTATATTGGGGAAAGATGTAATATCCGTTCTAGCCACCTCTCTTTTAAACGAAGTTTTGGGGTTTTTTTAAGGGAACAAAGAAAAGTTTAGCATCTCCTCCAAAGACTTCTACCTTCAGGTCATCTTATATAATGTTAGTATTTTGGTCCCAGTCTTATAATTATTTTTTCCTTTGACTAGCATTTTCTTGTGCTCAGTCTGTTGGGTATAAAGTTGAGTAAATGTGAAACTTATGCAAGATGGGAGGCCTGAATCTCTGCTGAGACTAGCTAATGTTACAAAGTTGGTTTTAATTTCCTTTAAGCTTTTTGTCCTTCGAAAAGCATTTACTATCCATGTCCAACACCTGAAGTGTTTTATCACACACAGCCCTCTATAAGTCACTGGGACTGTGACCCGTGAGTATGTTAGAAATGCTTTAATATCACTTGGGAAATTCTAATGTGCCTGCAGAAAACCCAAAAGCTGATGACCATGTAACCCAAGTCCCTTCTCTAATATTTCTTAGCAACCTAAATATTCTGTTAGCCAACATCTATTACAGCTCCTCAAAGATGTTTTCCAGACTGGGTGTGATAAGTTTAATGTTTTGCACTGGAAAATTACAGAACCAGTTGTAGGATGGGAAAGTTAGGGAATTTTTTTTGTAGGAGAGCTGTACAGCAGTGATGGAACCATTAGTGTTCCTTTGGCTCTGGGACGTTTGGGAAGCCCTGTGGTTGCAGGCAGGCTGGTGGTGGGTGGCAGTGCTGCAGCAATATATGTGTTTAATACCTATACAACTGTATTTGTGTGCTCTCTATCTGCTGGAAATAATTGGAGCACTTATATTTTAATATATTTAATATATTTATTTTTGGAAACTAGCATTCACCAGGATTATGGTATTGTACTTGTGTGTGTGTGTGTGTGTGTATAGGTGCCTGTATATCTGTATAAACATTAAAGAGAACTTTTGGGAAAGGATTTGCAAAAAATCTGAGATTAAATAATTATCTTAATCCTCTGTAGATTTGGCTTTGTTTTAAGTACCAGACTTCTTTTTGCTTCTTAATGTGACGTTTAGAGCGATCTGGAAGAATGGGAGAGACTAATTTTTTTTAAATTGTATTGCAAAGAGCCTGTTTAAAGGTAGAGAAATGAAACCTTCCTCCGTGCAGCAGAGCCAGGAACAGTCCTGGAAGAGCTGTTTCCCGTTGGTGAAAGATGATGTAGGTGTGTTCATGCCCATCCACAGGGGAAGGCTGTGTCAGAAACAGTGAGGCTTTGCTGTGTGCTAAGAGCAGGACTCCTGGTTTCTGGCAAAGAAGGATAAACCCCACATTTTTGGTGCTATCTGGCAATCTCCAGCTGCTTGCCCCAGCCTGCTTCAGCTTCCCTGCCCCTGCTTAGCAGAGGGAATGCTTTATGCCTTGTCTGCATAGGTTTTTCACATGTTGGTGATTTCAAAACTGGAGTTTTCAGGTTTTCAGTCTTGGGGTTTTTTCCTAGTATCTGGAAAATCAGCTGAGTTAAAGGACTGTCAATGCTATTATGAGACAGTTGGTCAACACTCAATTTATTCTCATTTGATGGAGACAGCATAACAATGTAGAACTACTCTGCAAAACACATAAGTGCCTAATTTTTTATGCTGCATAGGGTGGTGTAAGCACTCACTTGGATGATGCTAAAAAGGAAAGTTTGTCTGACTAGTTAAGAAGCTGCATGAATTCAGTTATCTAAACAATGTTTATTCCAGAGATCCACGTTGTGTTAAGTTCTTTACAACCTTCATAGCAAGGCAGTAAAAAAACCAAAAAGCTGACTCAGTTATTGAGTACCGAGAAATAATTTGAAGGACTAAGTCTCTGATTTGCTGCTCACTTGATAAGACTGTTTCAGAGATTGAAGGCGAAAATAAAAATGAGAAAGAATTAAGATAAAAAGATGCATCTCTGTAAAATAAAAAGAACAGTATATCCTTTCCTTTCTCCAGTTTTCTAGGAAGAGAAAGCTAATGCTGTGACTTTTGTTTTGTTTTGTTTTTTTATAAATCAGCTCCTCAGGTGCAGGCAATGTAGCAGACCGTGTCTTGGCTCAGTTGCTGACGGAAATGGATGGGATAGAACAGCTGAAGGACGTGACAATTTTGGCAGCTACAAACAGACCGGACATGATAGACAAGGTACGAATGGATGCGCTGTTGTATATCCTGTTCCCTTAAAAAGACCAGATTTTGGTATAATTCCATTCTCTTTTACTCTCCAAACTGTTGTCTGATCAATTTAATGATTGAGAGTAGAAGTTTGAAAATGAAGACAAGGCAAAGGAATAGTTCATGTCCCTCACTTTTTCTTCCTCCCTACAGAATTTTTACCAGAAACAAAATGTTTTGCCATAGCCTTAAGTATCCGTTTCCTAGATGAGATTTTCCTTAAGTCAAGCTCATTGAACTTGTGCAGCAACATTTCTGTCAAACTGCTGCCGTGGTTTTTGCTTCTGTTTTGTTTGTTTATGCAGGAGTTTGCTGGAGTTTGTTGGTTTCATTAGTTACTTCCTTTCAAGAGATTAAATATCTCCTCAGTGCCCTTATCCTGCTGCCAGCACTACGGTTTCCAACTGTAAACAGTACAGTCTCTCCTCAGATCCTGCTGCAGCTCTGCTGGCGTGACAAGAACATGTCAAATTTGTAGAAGCTGGAGGGTTGTAACACTTACTGCAGAAAAACCTCCAAACACAAAACCAACCCAGCAGCCCTCTAGAAAATCCACTTTAAAATCCTCCACCACTGCTGTGTCTTCTCACAGCTAAGTGCAGTAGACGGGTCAGTCTGAAGTGATTTCCTTTAAGATACGTTTTGTAGTGTTGGTAAGGTTCTTTATTCCACAGCTTTTCACCTTCACAACATTAATGAATGTGATGACAAGTTGATGAATTTAGTTTTCCTGATCTTTTTTAGAGTTTCTTATAAGTTTCTTAAATAATTCTCACATTTTAAGCTGCTTCTGGAATAGTTTTTTTCTGTTTGTCTTGGAGCATTCAGGCATAAAATACACATAAGTATGGTTCATATACCAAGGAAGTCTTGAGAAAAAACCTTATATTTTGGCTCCAGAACACAGACTCTTCCCTATTGAAGGAAGCCACACAGCTGATGGAGACCTGACAAAGGCTTATTTAGAGCTTACTTGTACACTGTCTGTGAGCTTGCCATGGCAAAGTAGAGCTAGCAAAGTGTTTTCAGTAAAAGGTGATAAAACTGATCAGCGAAAAATATACTTGTGCAAAATTGAAATTGTCAAAATTTCACTTTTGTCAGGTTGATTTCAGTTTTCTTTAGTGGCTGTTCTTCAGAGTCAGACTAATCTGAATTTGAAAAAAATCTGTTTGTTGAACAGAAGGGAAATTTCCTTCTGAGTCAGTTCACCATTGTACTGTCTTGTCTCCATCTCTACCTGGGAATTCAGTTCCCTGCTGTTCTCCCTTTTGCTGGATTTCTCGTGGGCACACAATGAATGCTGCTTTCTTGTGTTGTAGTTTTTAATTGAAATATTGACAATATTGGAACAGTACAAGAGTTGCCACCCTGCAATACTAAGAACTGGATAGAACCTGAGTTACTGTATGCTGTACCTACATCATTGATGCGAATCCAGACCTCTTAGCCTGGGATATGATGCATAAAAATTTAATGTCTTCTGTACATATGAATTTTGGGGGGGTGGTGAACTTTTAAGAATGAACAGCGCAGTTTTGTTTGGATGCCAACATATCTTATGTATTCTTTCCCCAAGTAAAGCTGATAGGCTTGACTCTAAATATAAAGGAAAGGAGAAAGTTACAATGAGGCAGTGCTCCCCACAGTAGCAAGCTGTGTGATTACAGGAATTTTATTAGCAATTTTAATAGCCACAAATGGCTCCTTTATATTTTTATTGAAAACTCTTTTCACCAGATATAATAGGAAGTAAACAAACAAAAGAATTCTAGAAAGCATTCACCTAACAGAGTAGCAGAGCAAAAGTTCGTCGATCTGGAGGAAAGGGGATTTTAAACTGTGATTTAAAGGGATCACATACTTCATCCAGACCAAACAGGCTGTACCAGGCCACCACTTTCTCCTGGGTCCATGCAAGATTTGCAGTGCATAAGTTGTACTTTTTCCCCCTTCCCTGGAAAAAAGAAGACTGACACCAGAAATCACTTGTATTGTGGGCTTCGCTTAATGGGAAATTTTTCAGTGTGGGCTTTCAGTTTACTTTTTGATTGCTGATCCCTTTGGAAAGGTAACATTTTGTTAAATTCATATTTTATATTGAAATAATCAGTTACGTGTGACAATTAACTGAGTGTCCTGCTTTCATAGTTATATATGATGACTACACTTTAATTTTTAATGCACAAACTTTACATATGTTATAAAGGTACAAGGCAGTCTGTCTTCTCTACTTCCAAGGACTAGGAAAACGTCTGGTATACTTTTTTGTGACTATTCTTTAGCTTTTCAAACCAAGAAATGCTTGAGGAATGTACACTTTCTAAGTTTTATGTGCTTACAAAATTGGTAACAATCCATCCGGCATCTTCATTTACGTGGCTGCTGCTTAACTGACAATTCTGTGATGATTAATCTTTTGCAATTTGAAAACAGCACTTGGGAATATCAAATGTAAGAGTATTCCCCAGAGCCTAGTGCAGACTTCATCATCCCTGCAAACACTGCAATATGTTGCTTTCAGTTAGTGAATAGATTTGAGTCAGACTTTATAAAAGGTTATGAGTAATGATAAACTTGTTTTGACTTGTCACAGACATCTATTAATAAGGTAATTTCTCTGAGATGTCATGATTGTATTGAAATATTATTGCAGCCTTGTGTCCTGTGTTTGTAGCATTCAGATACTTTGCATCTCATTCATGTGATGCTGGAAAGGCCTTGGAATAGCTTCTATTTTTCGTAAGAATGCAAAACCAGCATGTACTGTTTTCAGCCATGTATGGTACAGAAAGTGATTTCTCTTGGAAGGGAAATATTCTGGAACAAGATGTTCTGAACATTCTTTGAAAGTGATACAGAAACAAAACACTCTGAGTCAGTCATAATAGTAAAATCTTTCCTTTTATTCTTCATTCTATAAGCAGAATTGATGAGCAATAAGTGGAAAAACTACTTTTTGTTTTTGGTGACTTACCCACTCAGGAGTGATTTTTCATGCCTAAAATGTGTTGCAATAACTTTATGGAGCTGCTTGTGATTCAGAGTTTGTCTTTTCCTGTGTATCAGCCTAACCAGAGATCATTCATCCCCACATAAAAGTAAAACACTGTGAATAAATTGCTCAGCTTGAAATTAAACATTCTCTCCGGACATACATGTGTATAGATTTCCAGGTGTGGTCTGACAGATTTCCGTGGAAGAAAACCTAGACCAACTCATCAGGATTAACGTGTCCTGTTTTTAGTTCTTCAGTGGAACCTGCTTTCCTGGCCTTTTAGCGCTGGGCTTACTTTATGTGAGAAGGTTGAATTGCTATCATTACCTTCCCATGCAGATATTTTTTTCCCCCCCTCTTAAAGCAGCGTTTCAATCTCCATTAGCAAGGGTACAGTGAAGGAAGGGAGACTGTCAGATCCCCAGGGACCTTGGTGAATGTTTTAGCACAGGAAGCAAGATGCAAGTTGCTCCTGCATCAGATAGTTTTACCTCCTGCTGGGTCAGATTTGAATGTCAAACACATTAGCTGTGATGTAAAACACGAGGTGCTGAGCGAAGTGAGGGCCTGTGGTATAGGGTGACATCCTGGTGCTCCTGACAGCTTCAGTTCTCCTTATCGAGGGGTGCAGAAAAGACTATCCTCAAATACGCTATTTGCATAAGAATGACAGGATGTGATAGGACAAATGAAGATTAATGGGATGCTGTGCTGTCAGCGTTACCCATTGTCTCCAGATTGATGATGGTCTGGATTTTGTCTGTATTCATGGGCTCCAGTGTAGTTTAAACCAGAAACTATCCTGGTACCTTGAATACTGAAGAACTGAATCTTTTGAGTGCTTTGTTAGCACGGGAGGGCTTGGCTCCCCATTTCCAAGCATCCTGCTTGTTGGTATAAAACCATGTATTTTGCATATTGTGCCAGTGCAGAAGATTTTTTCTGTCTCTTTTTGCATGTTTATTTTGCTTTTTAAAAACTTCCTACTCCCTGGTCTTCCTCTTCACCTCCTCTTCCATCACCTGCTAGTTTTGCTGCTCTGTTGACTTCGTTCTATTAATGATTGGGTTTGAATCCAGCTTATTTAGTTTAAGAGCCACGTGGATAACACTGAGTTTTCTGTTCGGGTTACGTGAACAAAATAAAACAGAACTGCAGCTGATATTCTTCCTAGCCACTGCCAAGCATGAGGAAAGGGAATAAAACTCCCTTCCCCCATGGTTCAGTTGGATTTGGAGGAGTCTTTTGGGCAGAGAAGTCAAGCAGAGGTTTATCAAATTGATCTGCCCCTCAAAATGTTGATTACTATGTAGTTATGGGACAACCTTAATTTAAAGTGGCTTGTTTTGATGAAAATAAAAAATGCGTGATAGAACCATTTGGCAGAATCAGTAAAGAAATTATAATTTCTTGCCTGCAGCAAAAGTAAATAATCTTTCCCCTTTAAAAACATCAAAGTTCAGTCTTTCTGAAGGCTTATGGAAGAAATTCAAATATTTAAGTTTGCAGTTTTACAAGTTAAAAGGAATAGGAAAGATTCCTGCACATTTATTCATTATTGTCTGGAAATGTATATGTGCTGTTTTAAGGCAGGTGAGGCTACCAGCATGTTAGCAGTCAGATGCAGGAGCACAAACCTCACTAACACATAATGCATGTTTTCCTACTTAGGTATTTGTGTATTTGGGATTTTCATTTTGGTCAGATGCATCTTACAGATGGTTCTTCCTATGCCACAGCTTTAACTTGGTAGGATTTCCATTTTCCCAAGTATGGTGTAGTACTGTAAAGTTGGAAACCACATAATCCATCAGTCATGTGTCTTGCAGACTCCCAGGCAGGAAAGGGGGATAAGTCTCTGGCTATCCTTTCTCAGCATCGCATCTCTGCAGATTCCATCCAGATTTGGAAGACAGGGGACCCAAAATTGGATGCTTTTAGGAAGGAAATGGTGCAGGGACACTTAACTGCA